AGAGGGAAGCAGCGCTGGTGGGGAGGGGTTCCGGGGGGCCCTGCGGCCACTTGCCGCCACGGAGCAAAGGAAAGGGGGGCGGGGCGCTGACGTACACGGGCAGGGGCGTGGCCGTGTACATCAGCGTTACAGACACACAGACCCTGGGCTACTATATATATATATGATAAGAATAGCCAAATTATATTGAATGGACCTTTTCTTTTTAACCTTTTCAGGACCTCTCCAACCATCCTGCTAGTTTTACTTCCATTCCTAAGGCCACCTGGGTCACATGCTTTAGTCAGCTACAAGCCCAATATTGTACTGATACTGGCCGATGATCTTGGTATTGGAGATGTAGCCTGCTATGGAAATGATACGATAAGGTAAAGGATCTAAGGAGAGTAATCAAAGACATTAATTTACTTTTTTTTATTGTAAGAATGTCATGCTCTCTCCAAATCCTCCTTTGCTGAGCCACATGCTGGCAGAAGGAGGGGTTCTCTGATGGCATCACCTGAATTAGGTTAAAAGCGCTAATTGGACTATCTTTCTTACAATACCATAAGTCCTTGAAAATGACTTACAGTGTTTCCAGTTAAAGAGAAGCTAGATAATTTCATGGAGGTTAGGTCCATAAAAGGCTATTAGCCAGGGGATAAAATGGTGTCCTTGGCCTCTGTTTGTCAGAGGCTGGAGAGGGACATTGTCTTCGGTCCACCCTCTCTGGGGCACCTGGTGCTGGCCACTGTTGGCAGCTGATCGGCATAGCGCAGCAGCCATTTTGATGTAAATGAAGCGGCAATTATTTAAATCGCCACTTCATTTTCCTATGTCTAGTAAACTCAACTACATGGCTCCATCGATGGAGCTGTGTAGTCTAGACATACCCTAAGGAGCTGCAAGACTATATTTTATTACAGAGCTCAGGAAACGCTTAATAGGTTCTCTATTTTAAAAAAAAGAGAAGATGCAGTTTGCCTTGTTAACCACTATTAGCTGACAGACCAATATCACGAAATTTCTTGACTTGATTTTGTTTTAGGACCCCTAATATTGACCGGCTGGCAAAGGAAGGGGTGAAACTTACTCAGCACATTGCTGCAGCTCCACTCTGTACACCAAGCAGAGCAGCTTTCCTGACTGGCAGATACCCCATCCGATCAGGTTTGGGCCTTTTTAATTGAACTGTGCTGTCTGAGCAAGAGACTTTAGCTTTTAAACATTTCGACTCATTGACTTTAAGGCCAAAAGGGACCAGTGGGGTCATTCTAATCTGATCACCTGCACATTGCAGGCCATAGAACGTCACCCGCCAACTCCTGTAATAAATCCCTGACTTCTCGTAACAGAGAATCTACCATTTATTCTAGTTTAAACCTGCAAAAGACCCATGCCACATGTGGCAGAGGAAGGTGAAACTCCCTGGTTTCTGCAAATCTGACACAAGGAAAAATTCTTTCCAAACCCCAGCCATAGGGATCGGTTGGACCCTGAGCATTTTAGTAGGACCCAGCACACCTGAGAGAAAATTTTCTGTAGTCACTGCAATAATTCTAAAGTAAGCAAATATCTCCAACAGCTGGTGATAGGACGCTAGGTGGGGAGGGCTCTGTGGGTATGTCTAGACGACATGCCTCTGCCGACAGAGGCATGTAAAATAGGCTACCCAACATAGTCAATGAAGCGGGGATTTAAATATCCCCCGCTTCATTAAAATAAAAATGGTTGCCGCTCTGTGTCAGCTCAGCTGATCGTTGGCACAGCGCGCAAGTCAGGACGCGGATCGGTTGACAAGAGAAGCCTTTGTCGACTGCTCCCTTATGCCTCGTGAAACGAGGTTTACAGGATTGGTTGACAAAGGTTTCCCTTGTTGACCGATCCGCATCTTGACTTACGCGCTGCGCTGACGATCAGCTGAGCCGACACAGTGCGGCGGCCATTTTTATTTTAATGATGCGGGAGATATTTAAATCCCCGCTTCATTGACTATGTTGGGTAGCCTATTTTACATGCCTCTGTCGGCAGAGGCATGTAGTCTAGACATACCCACAGAGCCTTCCCCACCTAGTGTCCTATCACCAGCTGTTGGAGATATTTGCTTACTTTAGAATTATTGCAGCATGGCTGTGTTTATCCCTGTCTCTGCACATCACAGAAAGGTGCAATCATGTAGCTAAAGAAGGTCCAAAGAGATGGGAGCAGCAGCCATGATGTTTCCCACCGAATTGCCACCAGATGTCCATTAATATGGGCAATGCACTTTTGAGGGCTCACAGACATGGCTAGCCCTTATGGAAGGCAGTAGGTAAATAAGAAACAGACATTCTTAGTATCAGCTTCCTCTCAAACAAGTGTGTTTTGGGACACAAAAAACCATGGAATTCTGCTGCTCTGTAACAATGATGTCTTGTTGGGTTTTACAGTTTTCCTCTTTTTCCTATTATTGAACATTCACTCAGACTCACAACTTTGGTTTCTAAAAATCTGTAAAAAGATTTTTTTCTGTTTTCCAACCATTGCTGCAAATAATGATTAAAAGATAGAAGGAAAACGTGACACACATCTGTGTGAGATTCAAATGAATAATTGGTAATATGAAAGTGAGGGATATATACCTCCCCAATCTCGCCCAGAATCCTCATTTATTTTCACTGAGGCTTAAGCAGACAGCACAGGATAGATTCTTAGCTGATGTAAATCAGCAACACACTATTATAGTCAGTGAAGCTATGCTGATTTACATCTGCTGAGGATTTGGCCCCAAGAATGTAATTATGATTTATAGTGCCTCCAAATTATTCTGTCATTGGAATCGGGGGGAAAGACTCTATGGAAAGATAAGTGAGGTTGATTACATTTTGACAGACAAGAGAGCTCTTGCAAGCTCTTATAAAAACAAAAGTTGCTTTTGGCTGAAGCCTCCCTGTTGCTGTATTTATTTAGTACTTTAAAAAATGATATATTACAGGCATGGATGCCACTAACAGTTATCGGGTTATTCAGTGGGCTGGAGCCTCAGGCGGACTTCCTCCACATGAAACAACCTTTGCCAAGATACTACAGCAGCAAGGCTACATTACGGGACTAATAGGTATGTAGACTCAATACTGGTTTGGCAAAAGATATTATCTGAACACTTAGCACTGAAATACTTCATTGTGTGGGACTGATCAGAATATGAATTCAAGAAACAGATGTAACTCTCCAAATGACAAAGATCTAAATAAGGAAGAGCCATTAAAAGAGCAGTCAGATACTGCTTCTTTCTGTAGCAAATAGTTCTTGAATGTAGCTCAACAAATGAATAAAGTATAGGCCTCCGTGTGGTCATTAAGCAGCAACAAAGAGAAAAACTATTATACCTTGGCATATTGAAACAAACCTGCAGTGTTGTCTTCAAGTCGTCATTGTCAAGTCCAAGTCATGTCTCAAGTCACTACAGTTCAAGTCTCAAGTCTTAATTTAAAAAATGTCAAGTCATTTTTGTACAAGCCATCAATATCGGCATTTTCAGACAATTTTTTCACCAAGTTGATTTAGCAAAATTAGCAAGTCTCAAGTCGAGTCTCAAGTCACAAACAATGAACCCGAGTCGAGTCTCAAGTCGAGTCAGCTAGGCGACTTAAGTCGGACTTGAGTTCAAGTCGTGGGACTCGAGTCAACAACTCTGCAAACCTGTGCTAGCTCTGATGGAGAGATCATGCAAAAAACTAGGAGCAGCGTGGATAGGGGAGCGAAGGAACAAAGCAGAGAAAGGACAGTGCAAGGGGGAGTACGATGGAGGGGCAACAGCAGCAACACAGAACTGGCTGGTCCCTGCCCACACTCACCAGCCACTATAGCTCACAGCACACAGCCAGTGCTGGCCAGAAACAGGATGGGGGCCAAGCCCTACCGGACCAGTGCCAGCATGCAGGAAGGGCTGCACTGACAGACCAGCAGCCCACCAGTCCACATGCTAGATGTTTTCCTCACCACCCGCCTTGGACACACACACCCCATCATCAGACACTGGGTCCCCACCACCACACTCACTGCTGGTGGGAGGGTGGCTGGTGAGAGCAGCAAAACCCACCTGCTTGAGCAGGCCTTTCCTGCAGGACTAAGCTGGATTGTGATGTGGGCCTTTTCTCTCAGTTAATATATATTGTGAGCACAGGAGTGGCTGTTTTGTTTCATTATGGCTTTGTTATTTGAGTTGGGAAGGGTGTCCAGAGCTTGGGCAGATCATTCTTTAACTTCGTTAAATCAAAAGAACTATTTATAATATCACATAATATTTCTTTATGGGCATACACTGTATGTATCCTCATCGCTAAAGCTTTTCAAATCCAATACACTGTTTATACTAGGGATAGGCAGTAATTTTCACAAGGGGGCCTCTTAAAGAATTTTGCTATGTGGTTATGGGCCAGCTCCACCCTGGAAAGGGGTAAGGTCTGGGAAGGAAGATGCAGGGCTGGGGACTAACCTCCCCCCAGAGTTGTATGAAACTGGAAACCTTGAATTAAAAACACAACAAAGGGCTCATGGCTCACAGCTTCACAGTCACCACATTGCCTGGCAGCCGCCCAGGGTTGCTGCAGCTATTTAAAAGGTTTGTAGCTCTGGCCTCTGCCAGGGTAGTTCCATGACTGTGAACTGTGAGTCATTTAAATAGGATCCAGCTACCTAAACCATTGCATAGAAATTTGGTGGCGTGGGCAGCAGGATATAAATACAAAGCAGGCAGATGCACTCTGAGGGCCAGATCAAAGTGTTAGGAGGGTCAGATCCAGCCCCTGATCCACTTCTTGCCCAACTCTGGTTTACACTGTTATCTGCCAGCATCTCATGGCTTGTTTGGCAGATAGGCTTACGACCCCTTATACTAGTGAAAGTGATGTCACTTTTGGCTGTTTCATTTTATAATTGGCTCTTTCAATATATCCAGATTACACCCTGTCACTTTCTAACCTACGTGTCATCTGGCTTTCTACATAAATCTACTGCTACACTTTCCATAACAATACCCTACTTGCTTTCCAAAAGAAATCTGATGAGGTTCAACAAGGATAAATATAGAGTCCTGCACTTGGCACGGAAGAATCCCAAGCACTGTTACAGGCTTGGAACTGACTGACTAGGTAGCGGTTTGGCAGAAAAGGATGTGGGCATTACAATGGATGAGAAGCTGGCTATGAGTCAAAAGTATGTCCTTATAGCAAGAAGGTTAATGGCATATTAGGGTGCATTAGGAGGAGCTTTGCCAGCAGATCTAGAGAAGTGATTATTCCCCTTTATTCTGCACTGGTGAGGCCACATCTGGAGTACTGCATCCAGTTCTGGATTCCCCACTACAGAAAGGATGTGGACGCATTGGAGAGGGTCCAGCGAGGAGCAACCAAAATGATTAGGGGCTGGAGCACATAGCCTACAAAGAGAGGCTGGGGGATTCAGGCTTATTTAGTCTGCAGAGGAGAAGAGTGAGGGGGGGATTTGATAGCAGCCTTCAACTTTCTGAAGGGAGGTTCCAAAGAGGAAGGAGAGAGGCTGTTCTCAGTAGTGACAGGGGGCAGAACAAGGAGCAATGGTCTCAAGTTACAGTGGGGGAGGTCCAGGTTGGATATTAGGAAAAACTATTTCACTAGGAGGGTGGTGAAGCACTGGAATGGGTTCCCTAGGGAGGTGGTGGAATCTCCATCCCTAGAGGTTTTTAAGTCTCGGCTTGACAAAGCCCTGGCTGGGATGATTTAGTTAGGGTTGGTCCTGCTTTGGGCAGGGAGCTGGACTCAATGATCTCCTGCAGTTTCTTCCAGCCCTAGCATTCTATGATTCTAGTCATTATGTTGCCTTTGCAAAAGGTGCAGAGGCAAGAGCACAATGTTGTTTCAGGCTGCAATTGTAAAAGGACTCCTTTCCCCTTTAATGTGGGTGGCATAAGCTCAAGCATGCCTGATATTTTTCTCCCTTGCCCTTTAATCCTGGTAGTTCTCAGTTACTGCATCCTATTTTAGTCCCTAATCATGGGCATTAACTGATCCAGGAAAAAAGGCATGTGTACCTGTGCAGAAGCCAGTGGTTTAGGAGGGATTTTTAAGACTGGAAAGATTTGTTCTCCTGGAGCATATTAAATAATTAGCATCTATTATGGAGGATGGGAAATATTTCTTATTAGCAAGGGGGTTTTGGTTTTGGTCCTGATGAGAGCAGAATGTTTTAAATGATTGTATTGCATGTGTACCTTTACGTTTTAAATTATATTTTCAGGGAAGTGGCATCAAGGTGTGAACTGTGAATCCCGCGACGACTACTGTCATCACCCTTTAAATCATGGGTTTAGTTATTTTTACGGCATGCCATTTAGCCTAATGAATGACTGTCAGATAACACAACCTCCCGAGAAAGACAGAGTCTTGAGAATCAAATTGTGGCTCAACACTCAGATAATTGGCCTGGCAGTACTTACACTTGCAATAGCAAAGCTTGTTGGCTTGGTCTCAGTCCCCTGGAAAATAATCATCTGTTTTGCTTGGTTTGGCATTTTGTTCTTTGCATCCTGGTTTGCAAGTTATGGATTCATAAGATATTGGGATTGCTTTATGATGAGAAACCATGAAATTACTGAACAGCCAATGGTGGTAGAAAGAACTACATCCCTTATATTGAGGGAGGCAATTTCTTTTATTGAAAGGTAAAGTACGGTTCATTTTGAATATATTTGTTTAAATTTTGGAATGTTTCACTACATTGTTTAATTATCCAACTGATTAATCTGTTAATTTTTAAATTAAGCTTTCAAATGTAATATGTAATTATTATCTTGACTCCAAAAATTAAAGTCATAGACATAGAGTTAAAGGTCAGAAGAGAATACAAAATCCCCTTGTGTGACCTCTGGCATATCATATGCCACTAAACTCCACTCCCACACCAAACAAACAAGCAGGACTACATCAAAGTATTACAGTCCTGAGAACAACAAGCTTTTGCACAGGCAGAGAATGGGAGGGAGGGAGGTGCACCAATTTTCGAGGTTCTTGCAATGAAGGGAATTGCTAGAATTATTTTGGTGTACCTTCATTGAATCAAATGACCTCTGCCTCTTGCTTCAGAGGCAGATTCTCTCACATGGTACTGAGAATTTTTTTTAACCCAGTAAGAGTCAGGAAGGGATTTTCCCACACAATGTGTGTGAGTTTGTGTGAGGGCGTGTAAGCATATATAGTGGATTTTTGTCTCCTTCCTTTGAAACCTCACAGATGGCCATTAGTAGAGATGAGTCTTGCTCACATGATCCATATCTTGGATCAGGAAGGAATTTTCCCTCAGGTCAGACTGGCAAACCTTGGGAGTTTTCACCTTCCTCTAAAGTTCTGCAAACTCCTTCCTTCAGAACCGCTCAAGTCCCAAAAGTGCTGGACCAGTGAGGTCCAATCTTGACTTCTTGAATTCAGCTGATTTATACCAGCTATTTGCTCTCCAGAATGAAATCTGTTTACTTGCGAATGCAAACAAAAGGGGCTATATTAAATATTCAAAATTAATTTTGTGGAATTAACTGGGTTTTAATATTTCAGAGGCGCTAGATACTTATAGGGTTAGTCACTGGAATATTAGCACAATTTAATATCAAAGAGTCGTGACTTCACTTTTATAAAAGCAAAGTACATGTATAAACTAAAGTACTTCTTTGCAAGGAAATGACACATTAATTCTTTTAAAGAAACAAGCATGGGCCGTTCCTCCTCTTTGTTTCCTTTCTACATGTCCACACACCACTCATCACCACAGAGATATTTCTTGGGAAGAGCAGGCATGGCTTATATGGAGATAATGTAGAGGAGATGGACTGGATGGTGGGTAAGTTAATTTAACAAATGATACTTTCTCTAACAATCTAACACACAATTAACTTGCTCACAACATTCATACAAGGAGAGTCATTGTTTCTAAGTACTCACTGTGGCTGTCTGCTGCTGTATCCTCTACACAAACCATGATTATATGGCTACCTAGAGTGTGTAAATATACAGTTCTCCACCGGACAGATGTCTGTGCTAATCCTGCTGCTATGCATTAACCATTCCTTAGTGCATCTGGCACTCTGACTTAGGCTGTCTGTAGATCGTCTATTGACATACTCTTGATTCAAATGGCAATATGTCAGTGCAGACAAAGGAATATTCAGTGTACAGCAGCAAAGTCCATAAGACAGCTAATGCATGCTATACTGTAAGGCTGCAGATGTATAACTCTGCTACCTGTACAGTCCGTCTGTGCAGATATGCCCTCCGATTGTAAGCTCTCCTGTGGGGAGATCATCTTTTTGATCTGTGTTTGTACAGCACCTGGCACAAGACAGTCCTGGTCCGTGACTAGTGTTCATAGGCACTACCATAATCAGGGGCAGCCCAAGATGGGCTGCTGGCAGCTGGCGCCCCAGGCGGAATGCACGATCGGCGTCCCCGCCTCCACAGCCCTCAATGGCGTAACATCATCATTGGGCTCCCTGTTTAATGTGGCACTCTAGACCACAGCCGAGTTGGCCTATATGCACGGGCCGCCACTGACCATAATAGTTCTGCTACTAATAATAATTATGTGCTAATGGGATATCATATCTTCCCTTTGCATTTAAAAATTGTCAATGAAATCACACGCAAAGGTTCAGCTCTCAGAAACACTTCAGTACATGCTTCTTTTTATGTGTGGAAGTAATCCACTTGAGCTCTGTAAGTCTACTCCCTTGCTTAAAGTTAAGTGTGTGCATATTTGCAAGACTGGAGGCAACAATTGTTTCACTAGTTCTAGTTTTGTTTCTTAGTGCATATATGTGTCATTATTTTTATTTATAGGCAAAGTCCTGAATGCTATTGATAAGGAAGGTTTGAAAAATACCACACTCACATACTTTGCCTCTGACCATGGTGGGTTCTTGGAAGGTCATGATGGAAAAGTCCAATTAGGTGGCTGGAATGGAATATACAAAGGTGAGGATTATTAGCTAGACTGAATTCCTTAAAAAGGTCTTCCTAATATAACCAACAGAGTATTTAATGGTACCATAGGCAGCAAGTAATTGGTTAAATCATATATGTTAAAATATTATGTTAACATTAGGGCATAATGCTTATAAGATGAAGGCATATCGTAAAATCAGCATAGTTCAGTAAAATAGATACAAATTTTAAAAATTCAGAAATTGAAAACACAATATTAAACTTCTCTCTTCAAAATCACATGTGTAGCCCTGAAACCATATGCAGAAAATAGCATATCAAGGATTGAAGCTCTGGGTCATAAAGATTAAAGATCTTGTTCGCATCTGCTTTCTTCTTCTGACTGGGAAAACACAGAAACAGCCCATCTCATCTAGGCATTTTCTCCCCGTAACAAGTTATCTGGTTTCTGAACTGGTGTGCTTTAGAAAAACAACAACAATCAAGTCAGGAGAGGTCTAGCCATTTATTTCCCAGGTGACAGTACAAGTGACAAGACAGTAGGTAGAATGGAAGTATTTGACCAGACCTGCTTGGCAAACGTAACCCACACATCTTCTGGGTGTAGTTCCCTGTCCCATGTAGTGGCATTCAGACTACAGAGGGAAAAACGAGTGTGCTCTTCAACCTTAGTTGAGAGCTAGCTGGTTTTTTGCTCAAGAAGCTGTAGCGGCTCATGCACTAAGCTGCAGAGGTCCCAGGTGCGGTTCTACCTGTCAGTATTACACAAAGACAACTGTGTATCTCAATACAAGTGTACCTCCCTTCCAAATAAGCTTACTGCAGGGTATGAGACCAGAGGGCTGTAAAGGGGGCCCAGGAAAGCACTCTCTAATTGTACTTGTTACAAAGTATTCATGCATCTTTGCTTTGACAAGTTTCTTTTTTAATGCAACAGGTTTCCAAAGGTCTGTGGGAAAACTTATATGGGCAGGGGAGCCAAGAGCTATGCCAGGCCCCTGGGCAAAGCAGGAGGGGCAGCTCCTTGCTCCTGGAAGGGGTGGGGCCTCAAGACCACAGTGCCCCTCCAGCACTGTATGGAGTGCTCTGCGCAGTGCTCCCGCTTTCCCAGGCAGCCCTGAGAGCCACCCAGAGCATGCTGCATTGCACTCCAGGGGTGACTTAAAGGGTTCGGGGCCCCTTGAATCACTGGGTAGTTGCTCCTTTTGTCCCTTCTCTCTCCCTCCCCCCTCCATCAGTAGGCCTGCACATGGGTGAGCAGAACTGTGAGGTGAGCACACCTAGTATTGGCCACTTTCAGCAGACAGAATACTGGGCTAGATGGACCTTTGGTCTGACCCAGTACGGCCGTTCTTATGTTCACAATACATTCAGGTAATATGACAACCTGAAATACATATGAGAATTACATAAATGCTATGCACATAATATTCATTAATGTGCGTATACTGTGCTTAGCATATATGTACTGGCTAATACAGTTGAATCATCCAGCACTGGGTGAGGAGGCTTCTCCACTCACATGCTAATGCTGGATCCTCAGTTTCATTTTCTGCTGCTGGAACTCTGGAACTGCTACTCCCACCTCTCCAGCTGCCCTCTCCACCAGCCTTGGTACTTCACTGGGTGACAACTACAATATTTCAGTAATTAATCAAAGTTAGACTGCACAAAATACAAGGAGTACAATGGGATTTAAATTTTGTGAAAGGAATTGATAAAGCAGCAACTATTTTCTTACATTATTAACAAATTCAAAAAAACTCTAGAAGATTTACTAGTATATAGGTAAGGAAATGATTGGATGGATTGCTTTAATTCAGGGATCCTCAAACTGGTACTCCATGGAGAACTGGCTGGCCACATGCTCAATTGCATTAAAAGTAGCTAAGACGTTAAATATGCTTACAATGTTCAACAGTTTCTGTAGTTCTAACAAGGCTGTTACGTGATTGTGACCAAAAGGTGACCCACCGAATTGTGAGTAGGAAGGGAGGCATATGACCATTTACATATTAAAAGATAATACTTGCAGTGTGGCAGTTCTCTTTTCTGTAAAACAAAGGGGAATCAATAGAGTGTAAGCTACTGAGATGGCAGCTGGAGAAAATGCATTTTAATGGGATTGACACAACTAAATGTGTTCCTGAGGAGGATGGGCTTATGGTAAAACTGAAAAAGTGAGAGAGACTTAATATAAATCAATAATATTAGACAGTTTAAGCAGGCAGCATGTCATGTCTCTAAAATATCTTCTATTGCCTTGCATTTAACAATAGGTGGAAAAGGCATGGGAGGCTGGGAAGGAGGGATCCGTGTGCCAGGGATATTTAGATGGCCAGGAGTGTTGCCTGCAGACACAGTTATCGATGAACCTACAAGTCTTATGGACATTTACCCTACAGTGGCTCACCTGGCTGGAGGGACAGTGCCCCAGGACAGGTACAGAAACTGTAAAACTTATTCGCTGCCTTAAATTTCCAATCTTGCTTGAAAATGATCTTGTTTACCACATCATTGCCAGCCTACTTTTTCAGAACCATAAATTGCACACAGTTCACAAAAATCCTTTTTTGCATGTTTGAGATTAAACCTCTTACTCATAAATATTCCTTGTTCCAAGAGTAAGGTGCTCAAATGTTTTCAATTGCAATGACAGTTGAGTACAGAACTTATGATCCTGCAGCTCACTGCAATTTGGTGACTACCATTCTTTCCATCAATGTTAGGGTGATTGATGGCCGGAACCTGATGCCTTTACTGGAAGGGTCCGTTCAGCACTCGGAGCATGAGTTCCTATTTCACTACTGTGGTGTGCATTTACATGCAGTACGGTGGCACCAAAAGGACAGTGAGTAAAAAGCTTCCTCCAAAAACAATGATGTCTTCAGTCTCCAGGAAAGCATCTGTACAGTATTTAGTAGAATTTGATTTTTATATAGGATAGATTTTACCTTTGCAATGAGCCTGAGGTAGGAGGAAGTGAGCAGTTGTTCCATCTAGGAACAGTGCAGGTACAAATAAAGCAGTAATAATTTGCTGCTGTCCTGCATATAGATTATGATATTCATGCTACAGCACAAGTAAGCTAGCCGGAATATTGGGTGCAGAACCAAGGATCTCCCTGTTCAGCCATTCTAGGGAGGGGTAGTATTGGTTTAATCCTGTTTGGATGTACCCAAAATTTGAATACCCGATCCAGCAGTATAATGGTGAAAGCTGGCACCTTGTGTTACAAATTAAAAATGTACCTGTTAAGCTCTGAAAATATGGTCATTTCTGAAAGACCTTTTTTTCTTCTAATGCCGTGTTATACCTTTCTGCATTGTTGTCTCCTGCCAGGTGGGGCACTGTGGAAGGCTCATTATGTGACCCCAATATTCCATCCAGAAGGTGCTGGCGCATGTTATGGAAGAGGAATTTGTCCATGTTCTGGGGACGGTGTAACCCATCACGACCCTCCTTTGCTCTTTGACCTCTCCAGAGACCCATCTGAGGCCAAACCTCTCTCACCTGGCACTGAGCCCCTGTTTGACACAGTAATAAGCAGAATTGAAAGAGCGGTGGAGGAGCATCGCCAGACCCTGACTCCCGTCCCACAGCAACTCTCCTTGTACAACATTATGTGGAAGCCTTGGCTGCAGCCGTGCTGTGGGACATTCCCATTTTGCTGGTGTGACAAGGAAGGTGACAGTGCACACCCTGCTCTGTAAATCATAGAATCATAGAATTATAGGACTGGAAGGGACCTCGAGAGGTCATCGAGTCCAGCCCCCCGCCCTCAAGGCAGGATCAAGCTCCGTCTACACTATCCCAATAAAGCAGATTCAAAATCTATCAAGGGTTAATTGGGTGAAAGTCTTTAAAATCAAGTGAATTTTTAGCAATTTTTTGTTAATTCAGGATTATGCAGTTGGTTTGATATCTGAAATAGGGTTTAGAGAAGCCCATTTCATGAAACTAGATACCAGTCCAGATGGACCAAACTAATATGTTCCAGTATGGCAAGTCTTACAAGCATCTGTGCACAGCTGCAGATATAGTTCTGATACATTGCAGCATGCCAAAATTAAAGTTGCTATAGGGGGCCGTAATTTTGAATCTCTTGACATTTATGGATAAAGATTCACGAGCCCAGCACCATTTGATTGCTGAATTTCTATGCAGTGATGTACAGGCTGAACCTCTCCAATCCAGGATTGCATCTTCCGGCAACATCCATGCACTGGCATTGGTGTGCCTCTGTGGATGCTTCAAGTCAGAAATGGAGCACTCACAGGGAAAAAACAGAGCCAAGTTCTCCCCTTCCCCACAACATGTAGGTGGTCCCATGCTTAGCAACTCCTCTCCCACCCTCCCCAAGCTTCTGGCATGCCACAAATGATTGGCGTTCAAGTTCAGGGAGGGAGGAGTGGAGACAGGGTGCACTTGGGAGAGGAGGTTTAGGCAGAGCAGGGCTGATGGCTTGGAGCTTGTGTGGGAAGGGCTGGTGGTGGGACTCAAGAGGCAGCAGGGCCCCTGGGCATGGGGCCATGTTGGGTGTAAAGCCTGGGGGTGCTGCAGCACCCCCACTTCCTGCTGTCATGGAGACCCACTGGCACTCTGCTTTGACATTCCCTGCTTTGGAAACTTCTCTAGTTTGGCACAGGACCAGTCCTGAGGATGCCAGATTAGAGAGTTTCAACTTGTACCACAAGAGGGAAGGAAGCTCCCTTTTCAGGAGGTGCCAGAGCAATTGGTGGCATATCTGGAGCTGCCTGCGTGAGCAATAATCAGCCCCAGATTCAACCTTAATGGAGGCTGAAAGTTTTTGCACGGCCAATCTTAGAACTGCAAGAGAAGTCTGTGAGAGTTACTCTTGCCACCAT